GGATGTTTTGGTATGCCCTTGTGCCTGTCTAGGCATACATGGACACACACACCTAGAAATAGAATTTTTGAGTGATTGAGCGTGCCCATTCTCCAACTTCATTAAATACTGCCAAGTTGTTTTCTAATATTGTTTACCAACTTATATTCTCACCTGTTAACACCATTATTCTCTCCCCATCAATCTTTTTGCTAAATAACACTTTGTTATTGACATAAATGTTACCATTCTAGTGGGTTTGAATTGATCACATTATTGTTTTAATTTGCAGTTCTCACATTACTTCATGCCTTTATTGGGTATTGTAGATTTCTCTCTTGTGAATTTGTTCTTCACTTTTACCTGTGCATCTATTTCTCTGTAGTTAATGCATTTGGATGCTCTTTGTAGGCTATATAGTTTGAAAACACTTTTTCTTTTTATGCCTTCTCTTTTTTTCCTTTTTTATGGTATCTTTTGTTTTACAGAATAATGAAGTCAAATTTATCAGTCTATTCTCTTAGGGTAGTTGCTTTTGGTATCTTGATTAAGAAATACTTTCCTTTTTGCTCTCCTTAAGAAAATTTGCTCTACTTTGCAGTTATCCTGTAACTTTAGAAATGATAAAACTTTGCCTTTTTACAATTATGTTTTAATTTACCTGGAAATGATTTTCGTTTATGGTTATGAAGGAAGAAACTAATTTGGTTTTTGTGTTCTGGGGTTGTTGTTGTTGTTGTTGTTTTGATAATATAGATAATATATTGTTTCAGTACTTTTAGTTCATAATTCATTCCTTCCCCCGGTGCTTTGTAATGATATCTTTATGTTTCTGTACATGTTAGAAGTGTGTTATCATTGCTTCTTTTGTTTTTGTTTTAATAGTATTAATATCTGATGATTTCTTTCATTTCTCCTCCTGGAGGAATTACCTGATTTTGGCATGTCTTTTCCATCTGAATTTAAAACTCAGTTGCCAAGTTCCACAAACTCAAAAAATCATTTCCCCCCCCAAAACGTCTTGTTGGAATTTTTATTAGAATTAGACAGAAGAGAGGGAAGCAAACCATAAGACTCTAGAGAACAAACTGGAGGGTTGCTGGAGGAGCAGTGGGTGGAGGATGGGTTAACTGGATGATGGGTATTACAGAGGGCACTTGTGATGAGCACTGGATGTTGTATGTAAGTGATGAATCACTCCTGAAACCAATATTACACTGTATGTTAATGAACTGGAATTTAAATAAAATTTTGAAAAAATAAAATCTATTTAAAAAGAAGAATTAGGCTGAGTTTATAGATCGATTTTGAAAGAAGTGTCACAGATTTATTTGCCTGTTGAAGTCTCCCAAATAAGATCTTGTATAATTCTCCATTTGTTGTGAGGCCTTCTAATAAAATTCTGTATTTTCCCCATTAATATCTCGTACTTTTAAAAATCAGACTCATTTTTAGATAACTTGCAATATTTGTTTTTATTGTAAATAGTATCTTTTTTAAAATTACATATTCTAATTGTTGCTCAGTGTCGAGGATCACAGTTGATTTTGCTGATTGCACCCTTGCTACATTCTTTTACTTCAAATCATGTATAGAATCTCTCTCAAAATTACTATGTAGTTAATTATATCTTCTGTGAATGATAACAATTTGCTTTTTTTCTTGTCTTTACACCTTTTCTCTTTTTTTCTTTTTTCTCTTTAAAGATTTTGTGTATTTGACAAAGAGTGAACGAGAGAGCATGAGTGGGGGGAGGGACAAATGGAGAAGCAGACTCCCCACTGAGCAAGGAGCCAGATGTGAGGCTCCATCCCAGGACCCTGAGATTATGACCTGAGCCAAAGGCAGACACTTAACCAACTGAGCCACTCAGGCACCTCTACACCTTTTTTCTTGAATTACTGCATTAGCTAGGTCTTTTAATACAATTCTAATAAATAAAATACCTAATAGGAATCATCCTGACCTTAAAAAGAATGCTTCTTGAGTTTTTCACCATTGTTTGCCTGTAGGTTTAGATAGATAAACTTTATCTGATTTCAAAACCTTTACCTGGGCAAGGATTCTTTCTTTTATTTTATTATTTTGTGAAGTATTTTTTTTAATTGAATGGGTGTTGGAATTTGTTGAATTCTTTTGGTTAACAATGTTTTGTCTTTACTTCTTAGTTTGGTGAATTACATTAGTATATTTTCTAATGCCCTTTTGAGTTACACTCACTTTTTTCAAGATATTATACTTAAAAAAAAGATATTATACTTAAAGTGTATGTATAATTTATTAAATATTTTTTATCCTTTTAATAAAAGAATACCCTGTCATTTCTTCCCTTGTGCTGTTTTATGCATCAAGATTATACAAGTCTTATGAAATGAGTTGAAAAGCACTCTATTCTAGAGCAGTTTTTTTCAAGATTCAGTATATATTTGGCTATTGGCTTTTTTTTTCTTTTAAGATTTTATTTATACATGAGAGAGACATAGAGAGAGGTAGAGACATAGGCAGAGGGAGGAAGCAGGCTGCCTGTGGGGAACCCGATGTGGGACTCGATCCCAGGACCCTGAGTCACACCTGGAGCCAAAGGTAGATGCTCAATCACTGAGCCAGCCAGGCATCCCAGCTTATTTTCTTTAATGGTCATAAACTATTAGGGCTTTAATTTATTTTAGTCAGTTTTTTTTGTTTTGGGGAAGTTTTTCTTTTTGTCTGTTTTTAAGTTTATTCATTTGTTGTTATAAATTTATTAAGATTAAACTGATGATTCTCTACAAAGGTCTGTATTAATGATTCTTTTAAAATTCAGATTATTAATTGTTTTGCTATGGATGTGATTTTTAAACATATGTTGAATGAAGTTAACATTTGATAAGTAAATATTTGTTGAATGAAATTAACTCTTTGGGGGCACATGGGTGGCTCAGTTAAGTAGTTAAGCATCTGCATTTGGCTCAGGTCATGATCTCAGAGTCCTGGGATCCAGCCCTGCATGGGGCTCCCTGCTCAGTAGGGAGTCTGCTTCTCCCTCTCCTTCTGCCCTTAGCGGTCTAATGCTCTTTCTTTCTCTCTCTCTCTCTCTTTCTCAAATAAACAAAATCTTTAAAAAGAAATTAACTCTTTGTACATGTATGCCTATATTTGAAACTTTTCATGAAAACTCAAAGGATTTCAGTCTTTCACCCTGTCTTCTGTCTTGCTTTAAGAAAAGTTAATAATTGGGGGAGGGGGGATGAAAATTTAATAATTGAGAGTCTCTTTCAGTGTAAAAAGAGTGAGGCATACATTAAGTTATATTTTTCTCTCTTCTTCCTCCACTTTTCCTCCTTCCCACATGCATGGAACCTGATATGAAGAGAGGAGATCACCTTAGCCACCTGCTTAATCCTTCCTAAGCAAAGACCAATAAAATAAATATTTTAACCAGCTTCTGCAGTTTATAGAACTCTAAGATTTATATGACTCTTATTATAAACTTGTACTTCAGATGCTTGATGTGTGGTCCAATAGCTTTTAAAATCTTCCAATGTTATGATTCCATATTTACAACTAAATCTATTTGTACTTTACAGAACAAATTTGTGAAAGATTAAAAAGAATAAATTATTATCCAAAAGTTACTGTAATGATTGATATAAGCCCATATTTGTAAAAAGAGGGTGGGTGAATTCATCATATCCCTGTATATGTACAAACATATATACATATATTTGTCTAGGTATAGAAATAGCTATACAAGAATGTACACCAGGAGAGTGAAATTCAGAGAAAAATGTACAGACTGTTATTTATTGAATTATTTTAAAAGTATTTGTTACTTTAAAAAAAAAGTATTTGTTACTTTTAAAAATTCTAATTATATGAAACTAATGAGTTTTGTATATAATTCCTCTCATTTCAACAATAAAATGACATATTCTGATTACTAGTATAAAATAATTGACTTTGGTAGAAACAATAATACTTTTCCATTCTTTTTAAAAATAGATGAATATTGATGGAAAGTATTACAACTTTATTGGAATTACAATAGACATGTTTATGACTATTATTATATATATATATATTTGAAACAAAGTTTAGCAACATTGGTCTTGTTGATTAGGTAAATGTCCTTAGTGTTATGTGTCAACTTGTTTCCCTTTCCGTGAATTTTTGAACTTTGGAGTAAATTACAGTGGTTAGTAAACTTTTACTATAAAGGCCCAAATATTATATATTCTTGGCAACTAGATCACGTGGTCTAGGTTGCAGATACTTAACTGACATTGTGTAGCACCAAGCAGCCATAGACAATAGGCCTAGGAGCCTTTCATGGATGTATTTTAAAAGTTTATTTACAAAACGAGATGGCAGGCCAGATTTGGCACACAGGGCCTATTTTGTCCTACTGAAATATATAAATATTAATAGTTATTAGTGAGAATTAATGGGAAGTTTTAAATAATGCCAGACATTTTTTCATAAACATGCTACACCAGTCTCACCATATTTAGAAATCAGATAAAACCAAGTATTGTAACATTGAGCTATGTAGTCTCAGTATCAATTAAAATGTATCATATACAAAGAAAGAAATACATACATGCAATCGAGGCATTCAAATTTATACTTCATATTTCATTTTGCCATTGTCAAGGAATATTCATTGAAAAGTTATTTAATGTAAAAAGCCAAAAAAATCATTTTGAATATGTTTGTGTATTTTAATGATATAAATGAAACTTTGAAAGTTACGTGTTTCCAATTCATGCTGTCTTCATATTCATAGGGTTAAACTGTGGAATTAGTTGATTACAAAAGATACAAAACTATGAAAAAATATTAAGATTATTATATGAAACTATTTTAGAGTAGTCAAGGTTTAAGACCTCCCAGAGTAATTTAGTTTGTTCATGATTTTGTTGAAAGAAACAGTCAAATTTGTAGAGGAGAAAAAGGCAGTGGTTTTCATGCAATTATTATTTGCCTCTTTGTAGTTTAAAGAATGCCCTTTTTTCCTCCCTCTTATTCTTTGCCTCATCCAGTTCTGGAAGTTGCAGTACTCAGTACAGAAGGACAGGTCCAAGACTTTAAATTTCCTCTGGGCATCAAAGGAGCTGGCAGTTCAATCCAACTTTCTGCAAATACTGTCAAACAGAACAGCAGGAATGGTAAGATGGAGCAGAGTCTTTTAAAAAATAGGTTTTTCTTTTTGTTTCATTTAAATCTATTAATCCTAAAATGCTGAATATTTGACTCCTAATATAACAATACTGCCTATCATTTAAAAGCAGATTTAAAATAACGCTTTACTCTTTCCCAAGAAACTTAATCTAAATAAAGAGTCCACAAGGATTTTTTTCCCTTTTATTCTTATTTGAATGTACATTGTTTATTCTTAAGCATATTTCCTGTAAAGACATGTGATTATTTTTACCATCCTAGGGCTTGCAAAGTTGGTGTTCATCATTTACCGGAGTTTGGGACAGTTTCTTAGTACAGAAAATGCAACTATAAAACTGGGTGCTGACTTTATTGGTCGGAATAGCACCATTGCAGTGAATTCCCACGTCATTTCAGTTTCAATCAATAAAGAATCCAGCCGAGTATACTTGACAGATCCTGTGCTTTTTACCCTGCCACACATTGATGTAAGTTATATATGCTAATGAAGTAGTGGAAGGTTATAAAACCAGTGAGGAAGGAAAGCAAAACCTGGCACGCTGAGGATGGGGAGAGAGGGAATGAGGAGATGGCAGAGAGGAAAGAAAAGACCTTTACATTTGAATTTCAAATGTTGGACTAGGTCAGAGACATAAGTTTATTTAAGTCTGTGAACATAAAATTAAATGAGCCTGGTTCAGTGATTATTAGAACTTAAGTGTATTCTTAATGAAAGCTAATTCAGTAATCAACAGGAAAATGTAAATGACTGTAATTTGTTTTGGAATGAAAATTAACTCTTACCTTAACAGCAGGATAGCCAAGTATTAACTGTTAGAACTCTGCCTTTTTTAAAAAGTGTGGCAGACCTTTGTTTTTGTTCTTTTTGATTTTACTGATCGTATGTGACACAATTGTTATCAAGCATTGGGTTTTTAAAAATGTAGGCTTAAAGAGATGTGGTTCATCTGCTGTGCCTTAGAATGAAGTTGGTAGTTAAATCATACACTCACTGTGTTGGAAACTTGTCTGCAGAATTTTGGTTTCTGTTATAAGCAGAGTGAAAAAGTGCCCACAGATAGCCGAGTGGATCTCCAGAATTGGCAAAGAAAAATAAATTTGTGCAGCCATTCTCTTATACCTATTGCAGTTGGTTCACTCTCTTAAAAATCTTCACATCACTAACATGTCACTTAGAGTAAAAATGGGCCCCAGATTGATTTTTAAAAACTTGGTCCTCATAGAATTTTCTCAGAACAAACAAATTCATGGGTCTAATTTTGTCAGAAAAGAAAAAAAAATGATTCCTATGTACCATCAGTATGTAAAATCATAAGATGGAAATTGTAATTGTGTAAAATGGGTCTTTGGTAATTTAGAGTACACTTTAGAGTGTTTCGGACTATAAAACCCCTTTTAAGTTAGATATCTGCTTTGTATAACATAGTCTACAATTTTGCTGATGAAAAACTTTATAGTCCGAAACATGCAAAGTTTAATCTAAATTACCTTTTACACATATTAAACAATTGCTATTGCCATCTTAGAGTGTAAAATCCTAATTTTATCTTGTCATTTTATTTCCCAGCCTGACAATTATTTCAATGCAAACTGCTCCTTCTGGAACTACTCAGAAAGAACTATGATGGGATATTGGTCTACCCAGGGCTGCAAGCTGGTTGACACTAATAAAACTCGTACAACGTGTGCATGCAGCCACCTAACCAATTTTGCAATTCTCATGGCCCACAGGGAAATTGCAGTAAGTATTTGCACTTCTAATTAGTAGCAGAGAAAAACCTCAGAGATTCAAAACAGCTTGTATAATAGTCCCTTCTTTGGGTGCTTCTCGGAACTAAAAAGAAAACAAAGTAGTGTGGATTTCTAATTGTTTCTACACTGTCCATATATTTTAGGAAGTCTTGATACTATATTTATTGTTACTTCTCAAAATCATGTGCTTTACAGACTCATTCTAAGTTTTTCTCCTGTGGGCAGGTGTTGGGCAGAGGCAGTCAGGGATTTTAAAAATGAATAGTAGTAGGTCCTACAAAAGAGAATGAGGCTCTAAAGTTTAACCCATCCTCCCCATCTTGAATGTTTGAGTCTTGTTTTACAGCTTTTGTTTTAAGTTTTCTTAACAACTTTGCACACTGCTAAAACTGCATATTTTGAAAGGTGAGGATAGCTTCTAGAATGTTTCTTCATATTCCTTACTGTGGTTAAGAAAATGATAGCCAGAAGATAAAAAATATTTTAAGAAATATAGCATGAAAACTCTCAGATCTATTGTGTATTTGACTCTTAGTATGTAAATAAATGTTAAAACTCAAGGAGAAAATGAAAACTTAAATTTTTTTTTTTGTTAGCCGGGAAAGTCATTAAGATGCCACTTATTTTTAATCAAAACTGAGTATCCTTTATTTTATTATATAAATATTTGTGTTTGTGTTTATGTAGGTAATTATTTCAGCTGTTATTTTTAAAATAATTGGACTCTTGCATTATTTTCTAGGTAAAATCTTCCACTTTCAGGGTCATTCTTTGGATATAAAAGTTAATAAGATAATATTGAATTCTGTTACATGATCAAATTTTCTTTTTAGTTTTGGGCCCTGCTTGAACACGTCAGAATATTCACAGAGTTTCGTATTAAAAGATGAGCTACATATATGAAAGCTATCTTCCCTTTAGTTGATGCAGGAATACTAATGTTCTCCATATTATTTTTATTTTCAGTACAAAGATGGAGTTCACGAATTACTCCTTACAGTCATCACCTGGGTGGGAATTGTCATTTCCCTCGTTTGCCTGGCTATATGCATCTTCACCTTCTGCTTTTTCCGTGGTCTGCAGAGTGACCGCAATACTATTCACAAGAACCTTTGTATCAACCTTTTCATTGCAGAATTTATTTTCCTAATAGGCATTGACAAGACGAAATACATGGTAAGCACCCCTTCAGCTTATTGCCCTTGGATCTCTGAAAATTATTATAACAGGTGTGAATCCACACTTGATGCCAATATTGGTATTTGACCTTGTAACTTAATATAGTTGACAGTGGCAATATTGGAGGATAATTTGTAATAAATTAAAAGTGCAATCATTAGGTATTATTACTGTGAGTTAACTAATTTCTCAATATCAAGACACATTTGCATTTTTCTGGGTGGTTATTAAGACATGTCATTTGAGTAGAAGAGTCCTGGGGATACAAAAATGAAAAGATCCTATTTTTATCATTCTCATTTTGCTTACATAGTCATTCTGACCAGTGATCATTTCTTCATCTTCTGAGCATTTGTTCATCATCATGAGGCCTCAGTGTTAGAAACAGTACTTAATAAGTAGTTAATGCTCTACCCTATGTTCATCTGCATCAGAATGAATTTAGGAATGTTCTACCTATGACAGGAAAGGAAAGTTAGGAATTAGAGCCAGGGTATTCATCATTAAAATGAATTTTTAAATTCTGTTATTGAAAAAATAGAAATGATATATTTGGAAACAATTGCTCTAAAGATGTATGGTGCCAATAATCTAAGTAGAATATTCAGATTCAATTGTGAATAATTCTAGAAGAGAAATTAATATATGGTTTCTTATTTACACTTAATTTCACTAAAAGTAATTATGTCTTACAGTGATGAAATTTCTAGCACACCTGCCATTATACTCTGTAAGCATTAAACTCTTCAAATTTGGCAATGTTTAGAACTCATTTCCATCTATTAAAAATTTTTTTTAAGAAACAGTAATTTACTCTAATGTTGTATTTTAAAGACAATCAGTGAGCACGGTCAGTGAATATTGTATCATTTTGAGGTGGTCTGTTTGTGTTCATATGTTCTCTTTTGTGTTTTTTGTTCTTTTCCTTTATAGATTGCTTGTCCAATATTTGCAGGACTTCTACACTTTTTCTTTTTGGCCGCTTTTGCTTGGATGTGTCTAGAAGGTGTACAGCTCTATCTGATGTTGGTTGAAGTTTTTGAAAGTGAATATTCAAGGAAGAAATATTATTATGTTGCTGGTTACTTGTTTCCTGCCACAGTGGTTGGAGTTTCGGCTGCTATTGACTATAAGAGCTATGGAACAGAAAAAGCGTAAGTAATTGCAAGCGACCTGAGTGTTTTTCAAGTGAATAATTTTTTAAAGCCTGTTAGCTGTCAGTGAGGGTCCCTGACAGACTAAAATAGCATCTGAAAGCTTTATTGGTAAGAGAATGGGCATGCCGTGCACAAATTACAATCAAGTCTTTTGTAATTCTCTGGGTTCAGAGGATTTGTACTCTGATGAGGCAGATTCTAAATTATGGACTTTCTTTTTAACACAAAAGATTGACCTGAAACAAATTGAAAAAGTAAATAACTTTTTGGCCTTAGAAAGATATTAAGTAAAAATTCTTCTGAACTTAAAGCATCTGACAGGTTTAACTACTCGGTCTTAACCTAATGCTTCATTAGCTCTCTTTGTGCAGCCGACCCTCTAGCTAACTCTCATTCTGAATTGTGACAGTAGCACATTCCATCTCATATGTTCTACTTTGATAATATTTTCTCAGGCAGTTTGAAAGGATTAAAATAAGTCACTGTCTTTCATTTATAAAAAATATAGATATTTATGGAAAATGACAAAAGGTAGACATAGTCATGTTTCTAAGGATTTTATTTGCTAGAGACATGAATTTGCCTCCCAATTCTGTTTATATTTGCCTTTGATAAAATTAGTTATAGAAAGATTCCTTGGACTAAAGAAAGCTTTTTGACTATGATGATGACAAAGGAAATTCAGTAGGGATTTAGAGTTCTATGAAAAATGGACCACTGAGTAAAATCTGTCTTAATAAGTTTATGCATCATTTACTCTAATTCTGTATGAGTGCTATGCTTTGATTTTTTTTATCTCATATTCATCCATTTCCAGTTGAGGTATTATATTTATGCTGTACTGTTTTGAAACAAGCATAACAGCAGAACGTTTGGTTTGTCTCTTATGTTCCATAGGGTTAAACACTAAGCTCAGATAGAGATCTGAAAGGCAAGTTTTGAAGATCAGAACTTTAAAGTAACGAGACAGCTTGGAATATTGAGTTTCAAGTTTTTCTTGGTAAAGTCAGAGGTCTTAAGAATCAGGGATTGGGGTGCAGTGGATTTATTGTTTTCCCCATATGAGCGTAATAATGTATGCCTTTACTAAATTTAAAACCTGAAATGGAAAACAGTAGGTTGAAGTAAGTAAATTACTACTCTTTTACATCAGAGCCAACTCAGAGTTATTAAAATTCTGACAAATGAATGATTTATGGTGAGTAAATTTTCATGATAATGAAAATTTCAAAGGCAGATCTAAAGACAATTTTGTTTGTTAGTTTTAAGTTCTATATTTTTTCTAATGTGGAGGATCCACTGGATCTACTTAATACATACTCTTTTTCTTCTCATAATAGTTGCTGGCTTCATGTTGATAACTATTTTATTTGGAGTTTCATTGGACCGGTTACCTTCATTATTCTGGTGAGCAGACTGTATTTTCCCTTCATTTTTAGCTTATTGCTTTCACAGTGCTACTGAAACCGAGATAATTTATTTTATTGTTAATTTATCTTTGCATTCAAGGATTTATAAACATGTCTGGCCCACAGGATAAAATTATGTAGCATATCTTAAATGACATACCGATATTGAGAGTTTATATATGGGCTGATTAGTAGTACTATTTCAAAAATCCTCTTTCCTTTAAAAAGTACTTTTTTTTATATAATTTACTTTGCTACAATGTCCTGTCATAATCTAAAAATCTACATAAGCCATGTTAAGATTCTGTGATTTGAGCCTAGTTTAATAATTAGAAAAGGAATAACTGAAATGTGTAGTGTATTTTGTTTTTGAGTAGTGGAGTTTTTTGCTAAGAGTTTTATTAGTTCAGGAAGCTCTGTCTCCCAAAATCTGTAATATTAGCCCCGTACCAAGCTATACAACATTAATAAATTAAATGAATGTTATGGAATTGAAAGAACATTAACTTAATATTTATTATATTAATTTCCACATAGTAATTTAGTTCTTTTAAATAAATATCCATACTCTAAATTCTTTTTAGGGTACAAAAAGATTTTTTAACCATAGATTAATAAATGAGTATTAAATCAATTTTAAACTCATTAGAAATAAAATTACTTTTCTAAGACTTTAAAATGCCAAATAAAGAGATTTATGGGTAGCTTAGTGGTTGAGCGTCTACCTTTGGCTCAGGGTGTGATCCTGGGTCGGGGGATTGAGTCCTGCATCAGGTTCCTGCAGGGAGCCTGCTTCTCCCTCTGCCTGTGTCTCTGCCTCTCTCTCTGTCTCTCATGAATAAATAAATAAAATCTAAAACCAAACAAACAAAAATACTGGTCTTCAATTTTTTAAAAATAATTTGATGCAAGTCAAATATAGTGACATTAAGGTGTGTGTAGTTTTTTTTGTTTTGTTTTGTTTTGTTTTACTGCTTACATTACATTTAGTCAAATATTTGAAATATAATTGAATTAAAGGATGTAGCTGAGCTATTTGGAATTTGATATTTAAAACTTTTCACTGAGTTTTAGCATTATGCTGTTACAGATAGATGCTATTGACTATTATAAGATTGAAAAGGAAATGTAAACAAATTTAAATATTGCCTGTATCTTTTAAATACATGTTTTAAGGATTTTTTCTTTAACTGATATACATGAGCTTATTAGGATATTTCTGTAGTGAGCTAGTGTTTCATAAAATTGAGAAAATTTTAGTTTAAAGAAACTTAAAACTACTTCAAATGTATGTACTTTCATCCTTAAAATGAATTATTTTATACACTTACACAAAGCAAAATGAAAATTTGAGGTAAACACCTGTATGAATCAAGCCAGTAAAATATTCTCAGGTGTTCCTAGAAAAGCTGAATTCTCATCAGAGTTACTCGATCCAAATGATTGCCCTAGTTTTTGTTCTTGGTTTATTTAGGTTAACATAGCCTAAGCCATTCTCAAACTAAATGGTAAAGAGCTGATTTGAAGTGGTATAGTCTTTAAAAACACAGGCTTTTCTCCCCCCCCCCCCCCGAGCCCTTAGCTAAATATATTGATAACTTTAAAAATTGTAAAGACCATTTAAGAGATATTTGGTCTGTTCAAGTATCATGTGTTAACTTCTGTTGTATTATGGTTTTGTTTATTTCTATCTAAAAAGAAATACTAAGTTAATTTCTTAGTAAATTACTAAGTAATTTAAATACTAAGTTAATTTAATACTAAGTATTTCTTTTTAGATAGAAAGTATTTTAGATAGAGTATTAAAAAGTTTTTCACTTGGTCGAAAGACTTTAATATTCACATATACTCGGCTTCTAGTAGGAAAAGAGGTGAAGGACATTTTTATTATATTGCCCATTTACAGTGTGAGCCTACTATTATTTATTAGTTTTGTCGTTGTTATCCTGTACCAAATCATTTAGGTTAAAACGTGAAGGGCTTTGTGGAAAAACATTCCCAACTTTTAAAAAAGAAAAAACAAAAAAACAAAAACAGCAGGAAGCTGTTTTGACAGTACAGATCCTAGGAGTAATTCTGCAACTGCTTTGCCTCTAATTCTCCCAACACAGAGAGACAAAGAGTGATATAGAGGTGCAAAACCTCTTGCATAACCTAAACTGAGATATACTATGATTGTATAGCATATTTTTTGAATATATATATATAAATACCACATTCATCCTTCTGATGAGAAAGGATATTTAAAAGTCCATTCAAACACAAATCTTAATAACATAAATTATATTGAATATACCCTTTTAAGGAGTACTCTTAGAACAAAAATTACTTATTAAAACTCCTGGAAAGGGTAGTTTTGCTTTTCCACCGTTTGTCAATTGAAGCCATTTAACTTAGTAGTATTAAGTGTATGTTTTTAATAACGTCCTATAAAGAAAAATAACATGCTATGGAAGATAAAACCTCTTGCTTCTGTATTTCTATAGACCTGTCTTGCCTACAGGCACTAGAGTTATTATATCTATGAGAAAAGTGCTTGTAAGTAATGAGCAGTGGGAAACCATTAGTATGCCTGAAATGGTTTAATGAAAGCTTGGATCATGACACGTCAGGAGCTGTTCTTATCATTTGGACAGCTCCATCTGCATCGTTAATAATTAATTCAGTTCAGTAAGAGTTCAGCTCACACACTCATTTAGAAGTCTTCTTCAGAGAACACCTCTCTGGCTGCTAGTCCCACGGAGAAATAGGTTTCTGCTTGGCTAACAGCAAAGATCTAGAGATACAAGTGCAGTTTTAGAGTTGCATTTGCCAGGTAGCAAAAGCTCCAGGGAGGACAAAAAGGGTCAGAACATGTGCAGTTCAGTTAGGTTACTTCAGAGTGGTGTTTCTCTTTTTCTGTCTTATCATATCCATGTCAGCACTGCGAGCTGTGGAGTGAATTTTAAGCTGCTAAGCTCAGACGGATGTGATTCAATTGAGCAGGTTGATGACTGTAAAACAAACTGTGCGCTCCTGTAATCGGTGGTACCTTCTTCTTTTTTAAACTCCTTTGTGTCTTCGTGTCACCAGTAGGGGTGACAATTAGCTATGCCATATCATTAAGTAGCAAATTCTATCAGCAAATTCTTCTGGCAGATTATTTATATAAGAACTTATGAAACTATTATTTTGAGGTAGGTAAAAGAGTATTATTTGTCATTAGAAGGAATGCCCCAGTTGGCAATTAACTCTGTTTAGCTGAATAGGAAAATCTGTTTCTTCTGAATTTGCTCTCTCTTTCACCTAGAATTCTAGCAAGAGATAGCTGTCTACCTATTTACCTGCGTGCACACACACACACACATGCACAAAGAGAGCAGAGTTAAAATCTGATTAATTCCTGAATGAGTTGCCTCATCTCTAGAATTAGTCATCAGTGTGGGCATTTAGCTGGTGGGTTGGCCAACAGTGTACAGCACAGTCCTGTTACTCTGCTTCCTGGTGACTTCTGTGTGAGAGATTCAGTAATGACATGCACTTACGAGGTTTATCTTTTTTTTTTTTTTTTTTTTTTTTTACTTACCAGGTTTAGACAAATCTTTGTATACAAAGCTGTAACTCTGTCTTTCTCCTTCCTCACTGATGCATGGTATCTTTCAACCTATCCCAATATATGTACTATGTTTAAGCTTAGTAGAATTTTGTTCGAAAGAAAAAAAAATGTAGACAGAAAGTGGCTGCACTGGAATTTCAGAGGAGAGGAGCAACACTTGGGCAGTAGAGACATTCTTCTCTCCTGGCCTTTGGCCAGCTTTCCAGTAAGAAATAGGGGAAATTCCTTTGACGGTTGGATTTTATTTTATTTTTATTTTTATTTTTATTTTTATTTTGAATGCATACCAAAGGCAGGAAAATAAATTGGGAAGAAATAAAAGTGAGGAAAAAGACATCACTTACTGTAATCAGAAAGAAAAAAAAAAGCACAGGAGTTTATGGCTGGAAAGAGCCATTTATGTCACGGGGAAAATGCAAAGAAGGAAGAATTCAGATTTACAGTCAGTACTTCATTTGAAACAAATATTTTTTTTTTGGCCTGTAAGTGACTATTTTGGATAATAGATTTAATCAGAGATATTTCTATTTGCTCTGTAATTTCTTGTTCTGAGATTCCCTTAGTTACATTTTAAGAGCATGGCAAAGGAGAAGAGAAAGGGGGGGAAAAAGTATTTTACTCTACACAATCATGACTCTTATGAGGAGCAGATCACCTCCTGAAAAAGATCACAGACAACAATATTCTGTCTATGAAAATAAATATATTTACATTTCTTTAGTACTGGAGAAAAAAACGAACTCTAAAATTTCATTTAAAAAAATGTTTACACTTCAGGATTTGTTCTATTTAATTCCAAAAAGCATTTCACTTTCATACATATTGGTGATGCTATATTCCAAATGTTCAATACCTAAATGACATGAGTATCTTTTTCATTTCTTTAATAAGACTAATAAACATATTAGTGAAATTTTTAATGTGGAATTGTGGAAAAGTATCTTACGTTTAGCTTTTTTTTTTACATTTTATAGTATGGCTCACACTATTCTGTGTGCCTTTTTCCATAATTACTTTGTCTTGAAATGATGGTATTTGGTCTTATTGAAAATACCATTGCTTCATTATTTGTATATTTTCAAGTCCTATTTCAAAATCCAAATTAGTATTGGAGTTAACTATACATTTCTTGGCAACCTAAATATTAGTCTACTGGCTATAATTATTCCTATTAGTTGTTTGAAATTGGAAAAAAATCACAGACGTTTGTGAAACAGTCTGAGTGCAAAAACCCTTCTGTGGTTTTATGATTATTTTTCTAGTATTTTTAATTGTTTTTAAAGAGACTCACTTTTAAAACATCCTTTTGAAACTTTCAATTCTACGTATGTTAGAAACGACAGCCCTTTTTTTTTTTTGGACTCAATTATGAGCTTGTGTGATGTTTAGGTATGTGAGTAGAACACAAACAAGTTTGAGAAAACAGAACTCACTGTCAAACATACTGTTTATCTACTGGGAGTAGGAGTGTGTGGACATTTTAGCCATTTGCTGATTATGGGATGATAGTATTTTGCAAAGAAACAGAATTAGTTATTCTAGCAAGTCGATCAGATAGAAATCATTTGAAGAGCACACCTTTAATGATCAGGATTTCTTTGAGGCTGTATTTTATGCATTAATTAATTTATTATTTATCTTCAACTCATTCATCATCTCTGATTTCTAAAATAGCTTATTCTTTATAGAGTAGAATCATTCATATATATATATATATATATATATATATATATATATATCTTTGTTTTACTAAAAGACTCTTAATTTTCTCACCCAGAGTAAACTGGTTAATTTTATTTGTGAAGATGCTGGGCTATGGAGCCAGTATATTTAATCTCAACACTGACATTATAGTAGCTATAGTAATCTTTGGCAAGGTACTTAACATCTCAGAATGTAAAATGACTGTCCAAGCACTTCCTGTTACCTCTGGACATAGGATTATTGATTGTTGTTGTTTTTCCCATAATTTTCTGAACTTGTTTTCATTGTGAATGTACCGTATTTGTAACTAGAAAGAAGCTATATAATGTTTAAAAATCTGAGTAGGGTGAGAAGAGAGGATATATCTCACAGTCTGTTTTTTAAGGATTAAATATGTTTTCTATGTCACGTTCAACTTGGTTAGTCCTCAGTCTTAAAAAGAAAAAAAAAGAAATCACTTTGTATCATATTTAAACTTTAATTCTAATCTTCAATGAGTAGATTTCATTTTCATTGCAGTTTTATTGGGAAATGTGCTAGTTCTAAAATACCAGATTTTAACCTGGTCGTCTTCATTGAAAAAATAAGTTGGAAATAAAAAAGAAAAAAATAGGTTGGGATATGTACATCCTCAAGATTCACATTTTCACCTCATTTTCATGATACTTTATATATTCACATTTTTCCCACATTCTTTATTTTCTTGTACTTTATATATTATAATGGATAACTTTCTCCTTCCTGGAGTGTACTACTACCCCTACTATTATTTAATTCCTGAGGGGATAATTAATATGCTTAGAAAGTGATAAACCAAATCGTGGCCCTATATGCTTTAGGAAATTGTGTAAGAAAAGAAAGGGGGGCAGAAATCAACCCTAGGTCCAGAGTAATGGAACAAAAGAAGTAAATGGTTATATTAGGACATTCAACAAGAAGGGTCGAGACGTTTAAAGGATTTTAACTTTGAGTCTACAAAGCACCTTTTCTTTCCTAAGAGTTGCATCAGTTTGTTTATTTCAGTTTTGTTTTGTTTTGTTTTGTTTTAGGATATTTAGAATTCTTATTTGTAACCATTCTCTAATTTGACTTGTTAAGACTTACTGTTGCATAAAATAAAACCACTGTTGATTTTGCCTTTAAAAAAAAATTAGAGATAGACTGTACCATCATTCTTTAGTATTAAATCAAGATATTTACTGTACTATCAGAAGGATCTCCCTAATTTCTCAAAGGTAGATATTGTATCTTATCCACAATACAATAAGCAGATTCTTGTGTGGAGCAGTAAGGTAAATAAATATGTATTAAATGAATTGCATTTTATTGTAGTGTCCGTGAAAATATCAACATTTATTTATACCGTAACCAAGTGGAATAATCATTGGAATATAAAGCTAGAAAAATGTTTCTATAAATCTGTTTGCTTTTTCTCTAGACAATAATAAGTTAATTTTTAAGTAGTTTTTTTTTAACAGAGAGCTTCTTTTGTCCTTCTTTTGTTAATGTTAAGTAATTAACATGAAACGATGAACGCTATCTGCCAACACTTGCAAATTATGCCCATTAACCTCATTTTATCCCTTAAGAGGAAATTCTACATCTAAGAGAAATAATAAGGCACAGTTGACAAAATGAGTGTTAAACAGCTTAGATTAAAGCCTTCACTCTGTTCCTAAACTCATCATTAGGAAGGACTTGGTTGGAAAGTTTATTTATTGCTCTATATAATTTTTTCTAATTATAAAATCAGAAGTAGTGATGAATGAGTAGAATAATATCATCATTTTATCAGATGGTATTGTGACTCCGTAAAAATGATCATTGTATTATAACGAAATTACGCTGAGTGTTTTTAACACCAAGGAATTGCTTTTGTCCTTATTTGTCCTTTTCTGAATACACCATTTAGGCTTGTACTCTTCCAGCAAGTAAAGCTCACAAAATAGAACTTTGCTTTGTCTTTTTAAAATATGTAATAAACTGAAGCAAATAAAATGTCAAATCCAGGAGTGATCAAACTTAGTTCTGTTTTTAGAGCATAAAAATGGAACTGCCTTCCCTTTGTCCAGCAGTCTGCCAGGTTTCTGTAGAAGCCAATGCAAATTACAAATATCTCTCTCTTCAGCCAAAACATGTCCTTTCTTCTGAGTTCACTCACGTTGACCTCTCGAGTCTTCCCTCCATGACAGATTCCATCTCCCCCAGTTTGCTTTTGTTTGCACCTGGATTCTTTGCACAGATCAGTGTTTAGAGGGCCTGAAAACACCCTTTCTTCAGAATTTACCTACGTCCATATAATAAAGAGGCATAAGGAAGAAAGGACTGATGACTTTTAACCAGTTAGTAGCCAATATATACATATTTTAAAAGTTTTCCTTTATAGAACTAATAAATATTTTTCATATTTTTCACTATTTTTCATATATTTTATTTCAGTAGATCCTCGCCACTGCCTTACAAATAGATTGGGCAAATGTTATTATCTTCCTCTACTCCGTCAAAATCAAAAGCTAGACTCTCAGCTAAATCTTAGGATCCCAAACCCAGCGATTCTTGTAAAGCTCCTTTTAAGGATGTAAATGCCCCTTTTAAGGAATTTACTTCAGTGTTTCCATTAGATGCCTTTTAGGCCCTGGAGTACCTCTAGCTAAAGAAACTAATTTAGGTTTTCTAATTTATTTAATCATCACCACATGATGCTGATTTAATGAGGTTGCAATTTCATGTCAAATGATCTATTTAAAAAATCGATCATACATGGCCAGAGTATTTTTTATTTAGACTCAACTTGATCATTTGCTGTGTAAAATTGAGCCAGTGAGTGTCTACCATATACTCTTGTCATTGATATTTAACTGCATTAACTCGTTAAGTATATTTGCAAAATGTCTTCATTTTTAACTCTGTGGTAATAGTGATCTAATTCTTTATTTGTTATAACAGCTAAATATTATCTTCCTGGTGATCACATTATGCAAAATGGTGAAGCACTCAAACACTTTGAAACCAGATTCTAGCAGGTTGGAAAACATTAAGTAAGTATTTAGTTTTTTAATTTTAGTGCTCAACAAACTAAGTGAAAGATATTCTCCACAGAGAATACATGAATGCCGTCTATCAACTGTAGAAATTATTCAGAATGAAGTTTTACTGATCAAGGTTGAGTCTCACTGTTAACCGTGTCACAAACATCGGTCAAAAATTAGATAATGATTTCTGTCTTGACCTAGAGCCAAGAAATTGTTTCAGTGGCTTTGTGGAAATTCCATATCACTGTAGCAATTTCATTTGAATTTAAAATGCAGTTCAAAATGATGTTGCTGTTTGCATGGCTGATATGATTATATTAAGTTTGTTTTGTTAAATGACTTTTCTGATTTAAGGATGCTGAGCAGTTTCTACTTCTAATCCTGTTTTCCTAAGATAATTTACTCGATTACTGTTGTTAACTTGGAGATTATCCGTTGTTTTCATGATAATTAAAAAAATGTTTACTTTTTTTCAATATTGAATAAAAACTACAAAATCCTACCAATGGAAAAGGCTATCTAATTAAAAAAAATTGATAGCTGTTGATGAATTAAGTCATTTGTGGAAGCATTTTCAGAGTTACCTTCTAGATATGAGTTAATTTAAAATTTGAGGAGGTATTCAAGTTGGTTATAATGAGATTGTGAAAAAAAGAATATTTTTAATGTAAAAAATGGCAGATATATAGTAAGGGTAATTAAAAAAAAATAGATGTTTTAGATAGGTCAGTGCCAGCTTCATTGCATGTTGCATGGTAAGAGAGAGAGCTAATCTTTAGCATCTCTCTCTTTTCTTCCTTTTCCTCTTTCTGTCTTCTCATCCACACCAGTAATTACCGTGTTTGTGATGGCTACTATAATACGGACTTGCCTGGGTAAGATAGACCCTACATTAACAAACTTATGATGGCATGATTTATATTTTTTACGAATCCGTCAATATCATGAATTGCCCTTAATTTTTATAATTATTTTGGAATATCTAATTTGCTGTGGTATTTTTAAACTATAATATGCCTTTATTTTTTAATTGCTTGCCTCTGCATTTTGACTTTAATTTTGACTAATTTATAAAATATATAAATGCTTTCTTATTACTTTCTATTTTGATTCTGTCTAATAATTTTGTTTCTCTTTTCTGCTTATAATGCTTTCTAGCTATGAAGATAATAAGCCATTTATCAAGTAAGATCATTAGTTAGACATGGAATGCACTGACTTTAAATCCTTTCCATTCCGTCCTATTTTCTATAGTTCTTTTCTCCTTAAGCTATTCATGATGAAATCTCTCCAAAATTATTTTATTTTGAAGTTGTTCTCATATTTTTGTCCCATTTCAGTGAGGCTTCTTCATGCTTTAGTTAACAAACCTTAGGTTCACCTAAGATTAGTTTATTAGACTCTGCAGTTTAGGTATTAAGTGATTATCTGCCATTTAACCTTTCTGTATGTGTCACATTATTCAGTGTCATGAGCACACCACAGGAATAAAAAGATAGGAGTAAACTAATTAAGGACTCCTTAATTTCTTTTACTAAAAAAGCACATAAAAGACAATAAAGTCATGGGGGACGTTCTTCATCTTGTATTTTAATATAGTTTCAATACCTTGTTAGTGCTGGAATAAGAAAAGATCATACCTGCTGTTGCTGTTTTCACTGGAGGCTGCAGTACTAAATGCTATTGTTCTTTCTTTAATCGATGAAAGGTTAAAGCCAAAATGCTGTTGAATTTGAATGTGAACATAGAGAAAGTCAACTGCTACTACTGATATGTTAATATTTAAGTGTGATGATATATGTTGTTCTCTCATTGAACTTGTTAATAAAATTCACTTTATTTTTTCAGGTCTTGGGTACTTGGCGCTTTTGCTCTTCTGTGTCTTCTTGGCCTAACCTGGTCATTTGGGTTGCTTTTTATTAATGAGGAGACTATTGTGATGGCATATCTCTTCACCATCTTTAATGCTTTCCAGGGAGTGTTCATTTTCATCTTTCACTGTGCCCTCCAAAAGAAAGTAAGTGAAGACCCTTAGAGGCTCCAGTTGCCTGTTCTTTGCTTTGGTTTGAAAATCTATAGATAAAATAGAGAAGATTTTTTACACTTTTACAACTGGCATAATATTAAATAGAATCACTTTTAGTCATAAAATAATTGTCACGCATGTCTGGAAATTCAGGCTTCACATGTAAATTAAGTCAATATTAATCATCTTTTTTGGATCTCCCTTTGGGGATATTATAAGCTAGATACTTACGTTGAGATTTCTTCTTTGCTAGTAGGGTCTATAAACATGCTTTGTGCAAAGGGTATACAAGATAAAGAAAAGGTTAAATAATCTCGTTCTTTGCTCGATGAAGGGAATGCAGTGGTCCAAAATGAAATCGAACATCAGGATAAATGACCTTGATTTTAAAAGCACCAGACACACAAAAAATTAATATTAATGTTACCTTTTGAGTAGTTGTGAAAGATCTAAAACCCAGTAATTTAATACCTCACATCTTATTATTTTGTCCTGATTTTATGTTAAGTGGAGTCAGCAAAAATGATTCAAAAATTAAAGTTAAGGATGAAAAACTTGCAAGAAGATGTAAGCCTAAGAGAATAGCTTAGCCGCTCTTTAACTAGGTATCATCCTTTCTCTCTCTGCATATATAATATAGTCTTTTTATTCTGTTATTACTAGTTGGTCACTAAATTGAACAGAGAAATAGAATTTTGAAAGTGAAAACTATTATGTTTTCAGTCCTGACAAGATGATAGTGTTGTTACTTCCATCAGTTGTTGAGTAAGCTATAATTTTGAGATAATGACAGTGGAATGTGCAATACTGACAGATAATGTACATTCACAGCAATATAGGCATTAGGCAAAATCAACATTGGAGGGTATTATTTGGATAAAATACCATTTTGATTGCCATTGTCTTAGTCATACAGCATTTCAGAGCAGTTAATAGCCATTAAATGTACAAGAAATTTTTTTTGTGAGGTATCAGGTGTTATTTAATAACACCGAACTTTAATTTTCTAAACATTACACAGGTATAACCTTGTAATTACTTTGGTTTTTACTATTTCTTACATAAATGAGCATTTTGTATGCGTGTATGGGATCACATATCATAATTTCTTCCAAATGTGTTTGACATAAATCATAAATTCCTTCCTCATGGAGGTAGGTGTATTAATCGAACAAAGAGATTTTGCTGTGCTTTTTGAATTTACAGTAGTTATGTTTTTACACATTGTGTTGGACTTCCTTTTAAACATGTCTTGGATATGTCCTGTTGGGTACTGCCAGGATGAATGTTCAGAATATGATATAAAATGATTGAGTTAAAATCACGCTTACTACTGCTTGAGTGAGCATATTTAGGCAAAGAAAATGCTTTGGAAGTTCAAGCCCATTGTTATTTGTTCTAATAGGTGTAGATAAATAAGGCTAAGAGGATGAAAATGCAAGTGCACTTGGATTTATAAGGTCGTCTAGTAACTTAAATTCTGTAATTTTTCAAGGAGTAAGTGTCAAAGTCATGGTCTCTGCAGGCAGATACTGATCATGGGACTGTGAGGGGGGAAAAGTCTTTGAGTGTTTCTGGCAACCTCCTAGAAAGTAATTTCTTACATGCAACTTCTCCTCCTTGTCTGTTCTAATTTCAGTCTGGCTCTAAGCCAGAGCAGAACTTGTTCATATGCCAGTAGAGCTGCCCAGAATCCAGCCCTCCTCCCCACTCCTCCCAATTCTGCACTACCTTTCTAGGTGGGGCCCTATTCTATAGCAGTTGTTTGGACTTCACTTTTTAAAGTTTAAACTCTCTTTTAGGCCTAACAGCTTTCCTATCTATTCGTATATCCAAGCTTCAGGGGAAAGGGGAAATTACATGGGTAACTCATTAATGTGAATGGAAATTGCATAAATAGTTCCCTTGTGTGCTAATGAAGTGAATAGGCATCTTAGACGCTCTACATTAAATGTTAAAGCTAGACACATCAGAAAATGAAGAAAACATTCCATCCTAATTAATAGCATATGTATCAAAGTACTTTTTTTTTTCTCTATTCGTGTGCCAAAGTAGTCCTGTCATTATAAAGAGGTTACCCGCAAAACTATGCAATCCAGTAAAAGAAGTTTATGTATTGACCTACCGAAGAGGACATGAAGCGTATAAAATTTAAATGACTGAATTATGAGTGGTTAAATGTAATTAAGCAAGGAAAGTACTAATTTTTTGTCCTATTGGCTTAGTATGAAATATAAAATTGGGGTTGCTAAGTATATGGATAGAATAAGGCTTTAAAACATTATTATGCATATATTAATAACATTTGTATAATAATAGGGCATAAAGCCTTTCTGCATTTTACATCACATTTTGAAGATCCTCACTAGCCGGTCCAGTAGACAGAGATATTTTTCTGATTACTATTTCAGCAGTTTCAATTGAACTTGATTTTAGAAATTCAACTTATTTGCTCCCACAAAAATGTGTTAATGGAACTTCTTCTCAGTTGTCTCCTCCACTGCTCATTTAATTAGAGTGAGAGAGAAGCCAGTATGTTTGTGTTAATCTCTCGGTCTTGTGGTTATTCAATGCAGGTACGAAAAGAATACGGCAAGTGCTTCAGACACTCCTATTGCTGCGGCGGCCTCCCAACCGAGAGCCCCCACAGTTCAGTGAAGGCATCAACCACCAGAACTAGTGCTCGGTATTCCTCTGGCACACAGGTAACAAAGAATTTGACAGCATCTTTAATTAACCTTCTTTATAGAAAGCCTACCGAGACATGTTCTGTTCAGATGCACTAATTGTCTCCTCATTATAATGATCTAGATGGCAAATACTTGCTTTTTTAGTATTTTGGCTTTAATTTCTTAAGTATTTATTCAAGGTGTTTCCTTGGGTGTGAAGATCATTTTTGAGACATATACTTCTTTAAGAAGCATATATGATCATTGTTTGGATATCCTAAAGTTATATAGCGCAGTACTCATAGTGGGCACTCAGTAAACATTTGTTGAATAATCAGTCATCTCCACTTTTTAAAAAGGCCATTAAAAAATTATTAGTAGTGGAAGATTAAATATTCTTTAGTTCTAGACTTCCTTAGTTTTAGACCAGAATCAACACACATTTCTTTTTTAAAGGTCGCCAGATACTCCTACACAGATTGTTTAGGGTAGATCTTTATGTGTCTTTAATAAGGCGAGCTTGGGGAAACTAACATAACATGTCTTGCTATTTTATATTAATAGAGTCGTATAAGAAGGATGTGGAATGACACTGTGAGAAAACAGTCTGAATCTTCTTTTATCTCAGGTGACATCAATAGCACTTCAACACTTAATCAAGGTCAGTTACTAGGAAAATTTGAGTTTACAATATAAATTTTGTACCTTTTGCCAATTTACAATAATTCTAGAGAAAATACTGATTTTTTTTTCCTCCCAAATGGGTGTATCTCACAAGCTCTTAAACCTGTTGAGTCAACTTTTATACTTCATGAAAGTACATTCGTCTTATTCAGTAATGTAATGCACAAGTAGAATTTCAAACTCCACATTAACAGAACAAGGCAGGATAAAGTAATTACTAAAAACATACTTTGCCGTAGATTAAACTGTTTTCCTTTAGTGAACACAAACTTCTCTCTTCTGAGACATTTATGAAAGTTTTCTCTTTAAAATATTGATATAGTTAGAATAGAATAACTGCTATTCACATTAAACAGTGCCAGTTCTGTGTTGACAATTCTTATTTGTAAAATTATTTTTTGCACTTCTTCCAGAAGGTAAAAAAAAGTGTCAAAAACACAGTAAATCTTCATAAGCAAATAAATACTTGAGAATCTACAGAGCAGTTTTTTCTATTTGAATTACTATTTTTAATATGTTTATAACTTTAAACTTCTATAATCAATGTAATTTTCAACCTAAAATAAGCTGGCAAATAAAATAATGTAGGATAAAGGACACAAGTGCACATATACACACATAATCCTCAGTGCAAGCTTAGTAAATTTGAATTTGAATCATGTTATTGTGTGTGTATATATATACACACACACACACACACACACACACATATATATCCTTAAAAAAGGCAATTTATCCAGGTAATTTGTTTTGATGTACTGATTTGTAATATAATAGAACATGTTATATTTTATCACAAATATCAAAGACATTTTTCACTGTTGACATTGTTCTGATGAGATTCTGGTTTAAAATGAAGAAAGGAGTATGTATGGCATCAAAGCCAACTTGAATTTTAAAATATTTTTAGTCAAATTACATTAGCTATGCAAAACATATGTTTGATAAGTATTGAAAGGTTTGTAATTTGTCAATTAGAATGAGTGAAATGTGTGTTTATTCCATTGCTCTGATGTTTTACCTAATTCTGTTAAGATGACTATCAAAAAGGAAATGAATTATTCAGTGATTCATTTTTGAAACCTGGCAATAAGATTACAGAATGAAAATTCTTTACTATATGGAGTTTGTGAATGGTCTAATAATTCATTATACACACAGTCTCTTTCTTCCCCCTCGGCATGTGTGCTCTTGCATTTACTAAGAGAAGCTTTGTGCAGTGTGTCATACTTTTTACTTGTTTGTGAAAGTTGTTTTTCCTCCTGCTTGTATCAAAGTTGGTATTAACACAGATGTTTTCATGAGGGATAATCCCACACCTGTAAATTCTGAAAGTTTGAGATTCCCTCTTCTGGGCCTCAGTGGTTAGGTTTTTAATATTAAGCAGTAACATCTTGAAACATAATGTTGATCTCTGTGCATTTAATTGCCATTTTTGTTTAAAAGTGATTTTGTATAAATTAGTAAATGTCATCCTCAGCAGGTGTTTACTTGGGGGACTTAGAAAGCACCTGTGAATTACTGAAATTTAACTTCCCTCTCCCCTTTCTCCTTCAAATTAGTAGTTCAAATACAGTCAGAAAATTTCAGCAGATTATCCGTTGCCAACCTGTCCACTACCCTTGATGAATACAAAAAGTACTTTACTGCAACTGTAACACAAAAAATAAGAGAACTGATGTATTTTTTTCTGTTTCTTTGCTTTAGGAATGACTGGCAATTACCTACTAACAAACCCTCTTCTTCGACCCCACGGCACTAACAACCCCTATAACACATTGCTCGCTGAAACAGTTGTATGTAATGCCCCTTCAGCTCCTGTATTTAACTCACCAGGTGTGCTTATACTTACGAATAAAACTACCTTTCTTTGCTGCTAAACAGCTCTGATCTTTGCCCTTTTTCTAGAATACTCAAGTTGCCATATACTTATTATTATATCTTTAATTTCTCAATTTAAAGAATTATGGTATTGCCCATGCCAGGCTTCTAAAACTGCACTATATTATAGTAAAAATTTAGTCATGATAGTATTTACCAATAATTATCCATGTTTTTAACACAGGTGGCATAAATCTTAATATATTATTACAGGACTGACATCACATGGTCCGAGAGCCCATCTTCAAGATTTATATCACTTAGAGGTATCCTATCTATGTAATATACTGTTCAGTTTACTCTAAAGCTTGCGGACAGAATTTGCTTCTGGAATGAATTAGCTATTTATTTAATAAAGATAATTTGGATGCCTAGGTAGAGAAAACTACATCCAGCATTATCAATGTAACCAAACTATAGTATAGTGCAGCTTTATGGTAGTATTGTTTTTTGGGGTTTTTTTCTTAAAAAAAAAAAAAAAAAAAAAAAAAACTTTGAGAGTAAAGTTAATATTAGTCAGTTTATACCTTTAGTTTTTTATTGGGGGAGGGGGAGAGATTGTCACTAACCCATCCTGTATTACTATGTTTTCTAATAGCTTATTTAAAAAAAAAAAAGCATTTAATATTAACAGAATTTTCAAGATTTCAATAAAAGCTATCACATAATTATCGCTAGCATGTAATATTTATTTGTGGTTGATATTTGCCACTAAATTAAACAAAGAACTTCGTTTCCGTTTTTTTTTTTTTTTCTTAAAATTCTTTTTTAACGTAACTGCGGTTTCTCTTTTCATTCTCTTGTTTTTCTTACTTTCCTTATGCTTTCCTCTAGCAACCTACAGAGAGACAAGTATGGGAGTCAAACTTAACTTTGCCTATCAAATGTAAATTTTTTCAGCATGATTTTTAACCGGCACAATTAAAACATAACTAGCAGTCATGAAGTAGACTCAGCGGGCAAGTGGTTCACAATTTCCAACTAAACTGTTACCAAATTCAAACAGTACATCTATCTGTACTGCCTTTTGTCAGTAATAGAGGTCTGTAGCAAATGCTGTCCATGCTTAAGTATATGCAATGCTGAAATAATTTGCTCTTTAAAGCCTGAGGTGCTGTCAACCAGAATGCTTAATAATTGACTTATCATTTCTGCATTCCCACAGTAATCTTGCTACAGGCTGTGAAAGTCTTCAAGTGAATTACCTGAACTTGGGCAGAAAAAGTTGCCTCTTCAAAACCAGTCAAAGATGTGCTTAAATCTGCAGTATATCATAGAAAACACCTTTTGGATTATCCAGTATAAATTTTTATATTTATTAAGCAGTGATTAAAAAGAACGAAAAATGGCAAGATGAAACCTCGATAGAGGAAACAAATGCTAGCTAGCAAGTGATCTGTGTGTCACCTGTAACTTAAAACACCTAATGTTAAAGATGGTGGCACATCCGTGAATTTAGAATGCTAGAGAATTATTTCAAGCTAAAGGAAGCCCTACAAATACCGTTGTGACTTAATTTTGTTATATGTGGAGCACGATAAAAAAAAAATTGTCAGTTTTTCAAACGTAAGAAGTTGGATCAGAGTTCTGAAAATACCACGAGCCACCATCAGATACACCCCCACACACACTTTCTCATTTTCTGCTAATGAGAATTTATTGAACAACTCCTACGTATTTATTGGTCATGAAATCGAGTTTTCTAGGATAATCTGCAGCTTTAAGAGTGGAGTCAGCACTAAAAAGGGAAATTTCCTATTTTTTCCAAGAATGAAATTTTTCCTCGACTCCTCCAAGCCTTGCATACAATGCAGCAGCCTCACAGTGGCCAGTCTCATTCAGTAACATCATTTCATTCTTGTTTTTTTTCCAGACCTATCTGTAAACAAGTGATTTTTTTTTTCTCTAGGATTTTGAGAATGAATAACCTAACTTTCCATGGTGCAGACCATTTAATTTTCTCTCAAAACTTTTTATTTTCATTTGCCTGAGAAGCACTGTGATGTCTTAGTTTACATGTTTATGTGTCTGTAGAAAATTCAACTCTGATTCAAAGAGAGCATGTTACCATATTTTTTTTCCTTCTAAACCTCTTTTCATATCTTCAGCAGACTTATCCAGTCTTTCATTCCTTTAGAGATAAAAATATATTAGCCAAGGCTGACACCCTTTTCCCATTCCATAGTTAATATCTATTATTGGTTTGATTTCTGTGACCCATACTTAAGAAATCTCTAACATTTCTGCGTTTGACCTCCATGCCCATGGTGTCTGTGGGCCAGTCTCGTACAGTAGACTCTGCTGGTTCATTCGGTGCTGTCACTGTGACTGATGCAGACTGCAGGGCTGCAGGCAGACTTTGACCATTAGGAGCCTGGGGCCGTTGCTATTAGAGAGAGCATTAGAACCAAAAGAAAAAAAAAATTCGAAATAATAAATATTAAACAAAAAAGTAAAAGGCTGCTATTGCTGGTAATCTAATTTGTTGAACCCTTGCTCTGACTAAGTTGCTGAGAAGCTTAGAAATTCTTCATCATGTTACAATAAATCATTTTACTTTCTTTTATATATCAGCTACTCTTAGGCCAGATAGCCTGAGCAGACAGACATGATGTGAGTTGTCCAAAGTGAGTCATTCCACCTGCTGTCTATCGTGTTGTTGGATGGTGCTTGTGGGCCCTTGGTCCCGTCAGTATGAGAGATGGCTGTCTTTGTTTAACATGAATTCTTTGTATCTGTCCATTTTTTTTTCATTCTTTTTTTTACTTCATCTCCAGAAAAAGGAAATGTTAGAATGTTGTTTAAAAAGTTGCTTGCCAGTTATGTGGGTTTATGTTGTACATTTGCCTTCGATTTTTGTATGTGACTTACTCCTTTTTAATTTAGTGTTGTTTAGGACAAATTCTGTTAATTTTATTTTTATAGACCATAGTCTCGTACTTTAAAATGTAAATGTCACTAACGAATTGCTTTGCATTAACTATGCAAGGGCATGGAGTGAAGTCTTCTTTGTAAGAGTGTCAGAGATTTGACCAAAAATCAATTCATAACTACCGTCTCCTCGAAATTGATACAAGTAATATTCCATATGCCACCTTCCCTCCCTGGAAAATAGTATTTTTTCACACTGTTTCCTATTATCTAAGGGGTTGCAACTGTTTACAGTTGGGAATGCGGGAAAGCCTGGCACTTCTCAAGTGTTAGCTTTCAAATACAACTTTGTCCTGAACGACATTAAAAAGTTTTGTACAAAAAAGAAGTAAAAGATCCCTGAGGAAGGAACCGAGGCAATAACGGACCCCCCCGTCCCTTTTCCGTTGCAGGACATTCACTGAACAATGCCAGGGATACAAGTGCCATGGATACTCTACCGCTAAATGGTAATTTTAACAACAGCTACTCGCTGCGCAAGGGGGACTACAAGGACAGCGTGCAAGTCGTGGACTGTGGACTAAGTCTGAATGATACGGCTTTCGAGAAAATGATCATTTCAGAGTTAGTGCACAACAACCTGCGGGGCGGCGGCAAGACTCCCAACCTGGAGCTCACGCTGCCAGTCAAACCTGTGATCGGAGGTAGCAGCAGCGAGGACGATGCCATCGTGGCGGACGCCTCCTCTCTAATGCACGGCGACAACCCGGGGCTGGAGCTCCATCCCAAGGAGCTCGAGGCCCCGCTCATCCCTCAGCGGACTCACTCCCTTCTGTACCAGCCCCCGAAGAAGGGGAAGCCCGAGGGAACCGACAGCTACGTGTCCCAGCTGACCGCCGAGGCCGAGGACCACCTGCAGTCCCCCAACAGAGACTCCCTCTACACGAGCATGCCCAACCTTAGAGACTCTCCCTACCAGGAGAGCAGCCCCGACCTGGAGGAGGACCTGTCCCCCTCCAGGCGGAGTGAGAACGAGGACATTTACTACAAAAGCATGCCGAACCTGGGAGCCGGCCGTCAGCTTCAGATGTGTTACCAGATCAGCCGGGGCAATAGTGACGGCTACATCATCCCCATCAACAAAGAAGGGTGCATTCCCGAGGGAGACGTTAGGGAAGGACAGATGCAGCTGGTCACGAGTCTTTAATCGCGCCGCGGGCCCCACGTGTGGCAGGCGCGGGCCAAGACCCCGTTGGCCCGGGCCAGCTCCCTGCAGCTCTGCCTGACCAGGTGGCTCTGTTGACCTGTGGTCCCCCCCCCCCGGTGTACAGAGGTGACTGAACCTTGAAGTTCTGTGAATTTTTATAGAACGTACAAAAACTTTGTATATACACAGAGTATACTAAAATGATTATTTGTTACAGAGAAAAGAGATGCCAACCAGGTATTTTAAGATTCTGCTGCTGTCTAGAGAAATTGTGAAGCAAGCGAGACCAAGACTTCCCCAGCCATTGTACTTGCAGCAGTCTGTGGACTCCATCTGTAAATACGGCTGCACCATTTTTGTAGGCCTGCATTGTATTATATACAAGACGTGGGCTTTCAAATCCTGTGGGACAAATTTACTGTACCTTACTGTTCCTGACAAGACTTGGAAAAGCAGGAGAGCTATTCTGCGTCAGTTTGCAGTTCACTGCAAATCTTTTACATTGAGGCAAAGATTGAAAACATGTTTAACCACTAGCAATCAAGCCACAGGCCTTATTTCATATGTTTCCTCAACTGTACAATGAACTATTCTCATGAAAAATGGCTAAAGAAATTATATTTTGTTCTATTGCTAGGGTAAAATAAATACATTTGTGTCCAATTGAAATATAATTGTCATTAAAATAATTTTAAAGAGTTTGAAGGAAATATTGTGAAAAGCTCTTGGTTGCACATATGTTATGAAATGTTTTTTCTTACACTTTGTCATGGTAAGTTCTACCCATTTTCACTTATTTTCCACTGTACACAGTGTTCTGCTTTGACCAGTTAGTCTTTATTCTTACATTTAAATTTCTTATTGCCAAAAGAACGCGTTTTATGAGGAAAAAAAAAAAAAACTCTTCGAAGCCAGTTATGCCATGCCTTGCACAAAATGTGGTGAAATCTAGAAAAGAGTGTGTGTTATCCCTCTGTTTATTCTTGAACAGAGGGCAATGAGGGCACTGGGCACTTCTCACAAACTTTCTAGTGAACAAAAGGTGCCTATTCTTTTTTAAAAAATAAAATAAAACATAAATATTACTCTTCCATATTCCTTCTGCCTATATTTAGTAATTAATTTATTTTATGATAAAGTTCTAATGAAATGTAAATTGTTTCCGCAAAATTCTGCTTTTCTTTTCATCCCTTTGTGTAAACCTGTTAATAATGAGCCCATCACTAATATCCAGTGTAAAGTTTAACACGGTTTGACAGTAAATAAATGTGAATTTTTTCAAGTAGTTAGCGTGCACTTTTATGTATGATCCGTAGTTGGCTTTAACACACTGGTCCTTTCCACCCCTCCCCACGGCACGTGTAGGTCCCTTCATAATAATGACCCACGGGTGTGAGAAAGAATACGGTTAAGTTGCCTGATGGTTCCGTGTGCTGTCAAGAATATATGTGTGTTCGAATTGCCCATTACCCACACACAGAATCTGGCAAGAAACTTATTCAATAGAGAAATATACTGAAAGTACATTTGCTTATTGCATCAGAACTCAAACAAAAATTAAAAAAAAAAAAGGGTTGGAAATTCTGCAATCAAATTTGGGCATCATTAAAAAAGTTGAGTTTTCAGCAGAACTGAGAAGAAATTCCTAAAACAAACGTTTACAATTTGAAGGTTGTAACTATTCCTATAGGAAGCTGCCAATGACAATATTTGTTATCATGGAAAGGTTCAAAAATCATATTGAATCTCAACAAATAGATTTTTCCTGTCTACGTCATAAGCATTTATACAAAATCTTCTAAAGAGTAGTGATGTTCAAGTGCTTCCACCAAGAAATAGCTTCATTTTTTATGTGGACACACTTTGTCATGCCTATTGGATTTAAAAAAGAATAGTGGGAAAAATTAAGTATCTATTGATCTACCTAAATACAGATACAGTAAGGCAGACAGTATATAATAAAAGTACCAATATTTAATAATAGGGTAACAACAGAGGGGTGTATTCATCTATAGTTAATATTTAAGCTGGAGATTGGCTATAAGAAATTATGGTAATATTCAAACAGATTTAATCTGAAGGGTATTTTTATTTCATTGGCTAAAATTCTTCAGGAATTTACAGAACTTTAATTGGGGGGCATTATATAATAAAACACTTTAATTTTCTATTTAGCTAAACTTTTTTCCTATCAAACTATACAGTGGTGTGTGCTATGTACCTCCCAGTGTACAAGCTAACTAGGGTCAAGCTGGTGCAGGAATGAATTAACCAAAACAAACAAAAAAAGTAGCACTGATTATTCAGTTAGTGATACCTTTTTCCCTTGAAGCAGTTCATAAAACTGGTTCGATACGAACAGGTACATAAGCACCTAGTACCCAAATGGCTACTGTCTCTTTAGAAAACATGATTTATTCTGAGTCTAAGGTGGAGAACACAGTTTGGAAGCTCTTTCATCCTTGTCACCAAAAGAAGGATCATCTTTACCACGGATTTCTTTTTAAAAGTATATAAATGTTGCCTTAAACTCCATTCAGGATGTCCCCTAGTGCAAATTAATGTCTTATGTTTAAAATTATTAATCTATTGACTGACACATTATTCTGTTTATTAGCCCCAATGGTTTCTTTGGGACTTCTCGGACCTCATCTGGATATAGAATTTCCACATCCTTGATTGTTTCCTTTTGTGATAGGCACAACTATAAACTTTTACTCACATTACTGTGTCTATTCCCAGGGACAAATACAACCGGTCTACTAATGAGGATTTTTTTTTCCATTTATTTTAGATGCAGCTTGATTGACTTCTATTTTATTTTAAAATATAGGCTTGGTGGTGTTATTTTACACACACGCGCGCGCACACACACATACACACACACACACCCCTATAGCCTATTCGTCTTCTGGGCTTTTAAAATCATTTAGGTATAAGGAAGAGAATCTATACAAATCTATAAAGTACTTGAATAGTTGTCAATTCAAATACATTTCACATTCATTGGAGGTAGTTACATACGATATTTTAACCAGTAAAACAACAGCTGCAATTATTTGGCAGAATCACCGCCACTAGCCTCTCTCCACAAAGAAAAGAAGCATTATGCACAAATTCACTAACAAATTTCAAAAGAGGACTTCATGTGCACTTGTTTAAGGGGTGTATTCAGGAGGCTTGCTTCATTTATTTAAATGAGAAAGGAGAAAATGTATGTTTCCATCAATTCAACTTTGAACTTCAGACTTAAAACTGACCTTCAAGATGTTATCATGGGATAGAGTGGTGAAGAACTTTAACTCAGTACATTTTTATTGCAGTTTTCACCTAAGTAAAAAAAAACTTGAATGAATGCATACCAGTTGACTTTCTGGGAGGAAAACAGCTCTTCATATTTGGTTATACTGAAATTTTCCTTAAAGACAGGATAATCCCTGCAGTGTTTTACAAGTAAAAGTTGGTACCAAGTGTCCCCACGATCCTGTGTTCCACATATTTCTCTTCCCCTGGCATTGTTGCATGTGATCTCACACATTCGCATGAAGTTACTGGCATGTTGAATGCAGATGAAGGTTGCTTCACATGGTAATCAAATTAGTGTGGGGTTTTTTTTTGGTGAAAATGCCGTATCTCCTGTTTCCTGCTAGTGAACATCAAGTTGATTTTGAGTAGTCCCTAAACTGTAGTCCTGGGCTTGCGGATTGTTTCATGGCGGTCCTAGTTATCATTTGAATGGTATGGAATGAGGAGTTTCTGTTCCTTCACTCTTTCTCCAAATGATCGTAGAAACACATTGTTAGCTATGTTAGAAACACACTGCACCAAACAAAAAACCTGACTGTTGAGCAGATCACATGCTTAGCCAACGTGTACTAAGCTGTAGGTGCACCAGCCTAACGTGTAGGCTCGTTAAATCTACTATAAACATTTTTCAAATATTGACAGTAGATCACTCCCATCTCTCAATAAGGTTTTCTGGAATCTTTGTCCTTTTCCTGATGGCTTTACTGTTTACTCAGTGTGCAGTTTCTGAGAAAGAAGTCTTCAGAGGTCGGTCTGATTTTTTAAAGCCTCTTCTTTTAACTGGCAAAATTTTTCGGAATTAATACATTGTGAGATGCTAAATATTAAATATTAACATTTAACATTAGAGATCACTGTATGAAAAAAACAAAACAGATAACCCAGCACAGATAACTGAGCTGACCCAAATCTTCACCTGCTATGGAAAAAAAAAAAAAATACTGTCCTTAGAATCTTTGACACCTGTCTCCTAGTATTTGCTTATTGAAGCTCTACGACCGAAATCCCTTAGAAATGTTTTAAGAGGCATAGTTAGTCTTAAGCAAGCCCAGAGTTGCCTGAGCATAGGAGACCAGTGAGGAATGATCAAGGTTGGAATAGTTTTCCGAATGTTTTTCATAAGCATTCTTAAGTCATATGTCAGAACTAAGCTTTTTAAAAAGCATTTTGGCAGTCACAGCAACAGGGCCTTGCTGTTTGATTTTATTAGGCATAAAATGACCGATCTTTTGCTATTCTTTTAGAAAGGCTGACAGCTACTATATAGAACACCCAGGAATAATAATGATAGGTATCAGAGATATTGATTAGATGAAAGATTCATTTATGTTTTTCTGCTGAAATATCAATCCTAATAAATGGCTTTTAAACCAAAACATAGCACGAACACACAGTAAATTCTTTTAATGGTATAATAAAGGAGCTACAAAACCAGAATTGCTGCATAATTTTTAAAAGACTAAACGATGTTGTCTCGTTTACTAACTTTACATATGACAACAATAAACGTGCTAGCACCTACCATTTAATAGATGCTTCATATGTGCCAGGCTCTGTGCTAAATGTTACGTGCTTGGGATCCCTGGGTGGTGCAGCGGTTTGGTGCCTGCCTTTGGCCCAGGGCACGATCCTGGAGACCCGGGATCGAATCCCACGTCGGGCGGCTCCCAGTGCATGGAGACTGCTTCTCCCTCTGCCTGTGTCTCTGCCCCCCTCTCTCTCTCTGTATGACTATCATAAATAAATAAAAAAAAAATTAAATGTTACGTGCTTTATTGCACTCCATCCTCTCAACAGTCCTCTGAGAAGGGTACTCATTTTCCACTTTGGCAAAAGAAGATACATAATTTGCTTAAGGCCTCACAGCTGGTGAGTGGCCGGACCTACGGTGGCATGATGTTTGTTTGGCTCCAGAGTTTGAGCATTTAGCCAACATTTGTCCCCTCTGGCTTCACTTGGACTTCCAAGAATATTCTTTATACTTGATGGACTCTTTCTCTGACGGTAGTCACAGAGGGTTGGCTCATCGGTTGGTTGGTTGGTTGGTTTTGAGTTGACAGGGCTGTAAAGGCAAATGAAGTAGTCGGTTAAGTCAAAGTGTTCAGAAGAAGATACCCTTGATTTAAAAAAACCATCTATTGACATCAGATTTTAACAGAAGTGGGCAGCCCATTAGCCGGATAGTAGTCTAATGTAAAGTTTACTGGTTACTAATTTACCATTTCCCTTGGAAATAAAAGGTCATCATGAGGAAGTTGTGATAGGAAACGGAAGCAAAAGCTTTTGAGTGAGGAGACGCCTGGGTAGCTCAGTGGTTTAGCGCCTGCCCTCCCCCCAGAGCATGATCCCGGGGTCCCGAGATTGAGTCCCGTGTCGGGCTCCCTGCATGGAGCCTGCTTCTCCTCTGCCTCTCTCCGTGTGTGTTTCTCATGAATAAATAAATGAAATCCTTTAAAAAAAAAAAGATCTTGAGTGAGGATGTCGAATTCTACTCCTCACCTGACCAATAAAATAATACTGGGTTATTGAGTCAACAACCACAAAAATGAAAAAACATGCCTTTTCTTCTCCACCATCAAGTTGTAATAACAATGAAAAATCAAAATATTTGAGTCCCCTTAACTGCTTTAATAATATTGTTTTAAATCTAAATGATGTGTAAAGTGGAGTGTGTGTGTGTGTATTTCGGTATTTAGAGCTTTTCAAGTTCATAATCGAGCACTGTCTTCAACATTTGGCCAGAGACCTATTCTTTTCCTTTGAAAAATGAAGAGTTGGTTGGAGGCGTAATCCAACTGCGGCAGGTGGTGGTGGTGGTGTGGTCATTTTCTTAGGAAAAACCACTTGAGTTCTTCATCGTATCTACTTTTATGTCATCTTTTCATTTCTTGGATTTCAGCCCTTTTTCTTACTAGAGTATGTATTTTATCATGTGGACTGCCTACTTAGTGTCCTCTAGCTTCAAAAACGTTTCTTAAA